GAAACTCCTGCAGAGTGGGCGAGGTGGCATCCTCACCAGGTAAAAAGCTAGCTGGCTAACAACGTTCAGCAAGGAGAGGACTTCATGCTTAAATCACGTTGACTTCAACATGCCTGAAGTGTTTTTGCTGAATCGGGACCGTGCGCAGCCCTTGCGTAGCTGAGCCGCCGTTCCTTCAGAAGGGACGAGGGAATAACACCCAGTAAATTAAAATGTCACAAACACCAAGAGGAACAGCTGGCTTTGCCTCCACCGTATCCTGCCTGCATGTCTGGCAAAAATCTGACTTCTAGCTTGGTGGGAAAAGCAGGTAAATTGGACCACGCTGGGGAGTCCTGGCTATAAAGTGGGCTCCATTTGACCCGGCCAAACACCCCGACAAGCGCAGCCCTGCACACTCATCTTCACTGCATGCTGTCACACGCTCATCTCCACATCCTTCCCTGCATCCGTGCAAAAACACTTGCACAAGCACTGGACCCAGCTCACTGCAACACAAGCTCCAGCTACAGCAGCGAGAGCCGCGAGCACCAGGCACGCGGAGCAGTGATTTCTGAAGCAATCAGCTCCAAGCAGCATTTCAATATTTATCGACTCCAAACAACTCGAATACAGTCTAATTTGTGCAATTGCACAATTATTACATTAAGATAATTTTTTGAAAAGAAAAGACCCATGGACTCTCCTGTTGTCAGCCCTTCAGCACCGCACTGTTTGATTTCAGCGCTTTCAAAACGAGACGCCTGTTGAAATCACTAGGCTTTCTGTACAGTAAAGGAGCAATTAGACACCAAAAACAATAATTATCTCTCTGAGAGACAGGGAGAGCACATGAGTGTAAATATACTTCCCAGGGTAAGTGGAGACCCATGCAGAGAATTGTTATGCACAGACAAAACCTGGGAGCAGCCAAGCACAGCTCCGTGTCAAAAATGGCTGGGTTTTTGCATACCAAAGACAACTCTGAGCCCAATCTGTCTCGTTCAAGTCACTGTGATAAAGGTTAATCAAGCACCGAGCAGGAATCAAGCCACGAGAGCTCAGAAATGGAGTTTCGGTTCGCAGGACAGAGCGGGCCCCAGGCAGGTCGGGGCGAGACAAGGGCATTGCTTTGTTGATGCGATGGTCTGGGAGGAACGTGCGCCCATTACAGCAGCCGGGCATGATGAGCAAAAAAAGGGCTCGTTTAAACCCGGGCGCTGCGTCTGCGGCTGGCACAACGCAGGGAAGAGGGCTGCAAACGTTCCTCAGATGCTGCGCAGGGGAGAGCGTCGCAGCGGGCTGCGTCTGCACAGGCGACTACGTGACGTGGGCACGGGGCTGGCAGACCCACTCCTGCCACCCGGGTGCTTGCTAGCTCCCAACTCTGGCATCTACTTGCCAACGCTGAGCACCAACGTGGCCCCTGCGGTCTTGCCTGCATTTGAGCGAGGCTGTGGCCAGCTGAGCACAACGTGGCCCGACCTGCACGGACAGCTCCACGGCGAGCACCGTCCCGGCCTCCTCCGGCGCTCAAGCCCCGTCTCAACACGGCAAGGCACCGCACAAACCTGTCCACGCTGCAGGTGCCTGCGGAGAGCATCACAGCTGTGACTCTTGCACAGAAATCCCGACAAGCTGTTGCCTTTCTATCATTTTAAAAGGTCAATTTGAAAGAAAACGATTTTTCTATAGGTGAAAGCTAGCCAGACTAGTGCACGCTGGCATCGCAGGCACCTTTTGGCAGGAGCCTGTTCCGACTGCTGCTAAAAGCCTTTGATTCCAGGGGAGATTTAGAGGTGACCAGCAAAACCTTCCCTGCCGATCCGCCCGAAATAATGCAAATTTTCCACGCCCTGCAAAAGGGTATTCGAGAACCAGATAGCACTGGTTTTCTCTGTTCCTTCGATCTGCTTCTACAGATGGCATTAAAGCAATAATATTTTTCAACACAGATGCATGACTGTTGAAATAACAGCTATCAGCGGGTAGCTGAGCCTTCTTAATCCTGCCTAATCCCAAATCTACTGTACCTACCTTTATACTAATCTCCCTATCCCTTCAAATACTCAACGACGTCCTGCGGCCAGCTGTTAGGTGAGAAACAAGAGACAGTAGCTTACCATTGTCTGTTCCCAGGTCCGTGATCAAAAAGCATTGAAAGGAAAGAAGGCATTTAAAAGCAAGCCCAAATTTGCACTTTTTTTTTTTAGATTGAGAAAGCATCACCGCCAGGATTCAGCCTTTCGCGTTGAAATCAAACGGTGAAAAATGACACGATGCAACGAGTGGCAGAAGGAGCACCGGGACACGTGGCTCGGGAAGGAAGAGGGACATGGTCAGCGAGAGGAAGCAAAAGCTCTGCTTAGAAAGCGAGCACGAAGGCAGATTGTATTGCAGAGGAAATGGGCCCCCGCCACGCGAGAGGGAGACACCGAGCGTCCTGGGCGCGGGGCTCGAGGCCGCGACGTCCCGACACGCACCCTGGAGCGTGAGTCACTGGCTGCGCGCGGTCCTCCCACGCGCTGGAAACGCGCAGCGGGACGCTCAGCGCAGCCCAGGGATGCAATCCAGGCAAACATCAGCCCCGGATCAGGGGGCAGCCTCGCAGCCAGTCCCGAGAGATACAGCGGCATAGACATGTCTTCCCACCACGGCTCCTCCCCACCCAGCCGAAAGTCTGCTCCTTTGGAGAGATGGAGGCGAAGGCAGCAGCTCGGACTTGCCGAGTTATCCCCGCGCTGGGGCACCCGCATACGCGAGCCGCAGCGTTTCCCATGGATCTGGAGACAGGACAGCGCGCTTTCTGCTAATGCAGCCAAGAGGCAGCTCCAAGGTCGTATGTCCCTTTCCCAGGACAGCATCCCCCAATTCCCAGCTAAGCCTATAAATGTGCAGTGCTAATGGAGCCATAAGGAAGTCGAAGCTGGTGGCTTCCCCTGGTGCTTGGGAGATCGACAGAGCCCCTGTGCTAATGGGAGAGACAGACCAAGCGAGCCCAGGGGCACTTATCCTAACCCCAGAGAGGAGATGGGCCCACGATCCCCGCAGAGTCAGCAGCAGGGCTGGGAACTGAACCCACCTCTCCTGGGTCTCCTTCCCCTGCCGTAACCAGAGTAAATGCTGCATGAAGAGTGCAGGGGGGCAAATGGGGCGTGTGGGACGGCTGGGGGAGAGGGTGCTAAGTGCCCTGCCTGGACAAGGATGCCTCCGCTTCTGAGCTGTCAAGCGAGGGGCTCTACAGGGGACGGGGCTGCTAGAGATGGGGTGTCTGACTACATATGGGTTCAGAAAAGCAAGTCCCTGGGCTCCTGTGGGCATGCGATCCATCTGTTCTGCACATTGGAGGAGCATCCCAAGGAGCAAGCATGCAGACACATGACACACTTGCTCCATCGTACCCCGGCTATTCTGGGGAAAGAGAGAGGAGCAGACGCACACCATCCAGCCTTGCGCCAAGGTAAGACCCTCTCCTGGGGGTAAAGCCACCCTCCCAAAGCGCTACCCTGCCATCCCAGTTGTGTCTGCTCTCTGGTCAGCTCTATCCAGGGATACCCCTTTGCTCCAGGCAGTCCAGCTGGTGGCTTGGAGCAGAGCCAGCACCGCCCTTGGGCAAGCTGTGTGCAGAGGAAATCACAAGTAAATGACTCCCTAGCACTTGTGTCCTGTGCCCACATCCTTAGCTGGGGGAGAAAATCAATCCGAGTTGCACAGCACTGCGGAAAGACTGGGTCAAATGGGAGAAAAGTCCTTAAAACTGCAATGGTGAGGAGGAGTTCACTAGACAGACCCAGATACAAGTGTCCCTGCCCCAGGCACGGGTGCGGCGCAGAACAACGGACTAGGCGAACAGGAGGACTCCCGCCCAGCTCAACACGTTTGCTAAATAGAAACGCCGGGCACACGATCTGCCACAGCTCTGGGTTTATGGGATCACGCACGGATTAAGTACCTGACCCGGGGAACGGCAGGTGGGAGCAGAGCAGCCAGCGTCTCGAGGCCACCACGTGCAGACTGTCACAGCTCGGTTACACTGCGAGCTTCCCGGCACCACAGAGATGGTTGAAGATCCGCCGTAGCCGGGTCCTTGCAGACAGAGATGGCGAGGAGCGGGGACTTCCCACCCCCCATCTGTCTCCCTGTGGCAATGCTACTGCGCTCGTCATACAAGAGACACGGATCAGGATGCCGCTGCCCAGGTCATCCCACCATGCCAACAAGAGGGCTGCCCGCCTAAGTGCCCCCCGTACCAGACAGCAGCTCCATGGCCTGCAGACCGATACACCTCCCTCAGTCCAACCGCTAGCAACGTCTTCCTCACACCCCTGCAACCTCGCACGCTGCACCCCACGCCCCTGCAACCTCCCACGCTGCACCCCACGCCCCTGCAACCTCCCACGCTGCACCCCACGCCCCTGCACAGTCCCCTGTGATGACATCCAGATGCAGTGCAAGAAACCCAACTTCTCCCCCTGACAAGCACTCCTATTAAGTGTGAACTACCGCGCAGACCATTCAGGCTCCAGCCTTCCTGGAGTTACCTTGGGCACAAGGCAGTGAGCGAAATACTGCTTCATTAGCTATTCCGGCTTTGAGTCGTTTGCTGAGCCAAATGTTGAAGAGCAGTTTAGACCAACCCAGAGACCGTACCACAGTCTCTCCCTCTTTCGTGGGATCAGGAACAGACAAGTATTGCACTGCAATAAAATCCTCCATCTAGCCATGTGGTGTTTCTAGCCACAGACACGAGAGCGGGGCCCTGAGAGGCAGAACGAATCGCTGTCAGGAGCCCCGGCAGACGTGGGCCAGGTGGGTGCGTGATCCTCTGAAGCAATCGCAGAAAGGCAATACGTTTATTCTGTAGGTAAGGAGAGCAACACCTCCGTCTGTGTGTGTGCATGCATGTGTGTGTGTGTGTGAGGAAGGAAGAGACAGAAAGAGAGAAATTGCACACGAGAAGGAAGCGTGCATGGGGGTAGGAGAGCGAGAGAGGGGACCGTGCATTGCACGGCCAGACTTACAGCCTTGGGCTTGAACGGAGGCTGGACCTCCTTGCGCTCGAGTTTCTCCCAGTCGATGTACCGAAAGAAGGCGTGCTCCTTGATGTCCCGCTCCCCCTCAGGGCCGCATCCCAGGCGCTTGGCAGGGTGCTTGGTCATCAGCTTAGGGAGAGAAAAAGCAGAAACAGTTGTCCCCCAAAGGCCAAACCGCTGAATAAAACCCCACCGACGGCCCACGTCACCCCAGAGCATTGTCCTTCTTGGAGCCCAGGCCGCAGGGACCGGGGCACGGCAGGGTTTCCCTACCCCAGAGCCGAGCAAAAGGGCTGGACCTCTAGGATTCAAGGGGTGGGTGGGTGCATATAACATCTGCAAGAAGTCCTGCCTGAAGTCGTCTGGAATAGCACACGTCTTGGCACGGGACGTTGCACGGTGAAGAGACGAACCACCTACTCTCAGAAAACCTCTCATTAGCAACAGCGGCAGAGCCCCCGTGTCCCCGGAAAGGACAACGGACAGCAGAGAAACCCAGAATTAACCAAAGAGCTGATTCCAAGAGGAAAGACTGAGCAGCTCATTATCATCTAAACCCATCCTTTTTTGCAGCCCCAATAAGCCACGTGGAAGAGTAAGGGAATTCAGCAAGGCCACACAAACATTGATATCCTGGTGGCATCGTTTGGGTTGTGCTCGGAGATAAGATGCAGATACCAGAGGTTTGGAAAATATCAGTAAGCCAGAAGAGAGCGAGCAGGATACCTGCAACTTGTTAGACTGCCTCGTTAGAAGCAGCGCAGTTACCACACCCCCCGTTTTGGACCCGAGGGGGCCTGGAGTTTGGAGCCAACCTTACTCTATATCCCAGGGGCCTGGGTTTGCAAAAGGGCCCAGCACCGGGGTTGCGGGGTGCAATGTGTGGGGCGTCAGGCTGGATGATCCCGGGGCTCCCTCTTGCCATCCAGTTGCACAAACCTACTGACCTGTTTGCAAAAGGCCAAGAAAGAAGCAACTGCTTGAGAGGCCTGGGGAGATGGGCTCACCTCCACCCCCTCTCCCTGCTCCAGAAGAGATGTGGCAACCCCCACAAGTTGAGGAAGGACGTTGCAATGCAGCCCCCAACACACTCCCACCACGGGCACCCATCCAAACCCTCTCGCTGCCCGTTCCCATAGATGCTGAACACCCCCAGCCTGGGACACGAGGCCACGTTATTTGTGCAGGAAGCTTCCCGCGTGGCAGGGCTGCTCCTGCAGCATAGCATCCAGTGAGCACTTCTCATCCATAGCTCCTAATTTCTGACGTACGTACACGGTGGGATGCTGCATTTGCCTGGAATGCAGCTAATTTAACTTAAAATGAGAGGCTATCCACAAAACCAGCCCTGCCATCCTAGGGGACATTTATTGCCAATGCCGTGCAAAAGCCAGTGCGGGGAATTCAGGCCTGGTCAGGCAGAGTGTTGCTCCGCTGGGTCTCACAAAATGCTGCTCAGGGAGATGTCTCAGGGCCAGGGTCGAAGTCCCGGCCAGAACAACCGTGGCCTCCGAGGCTGGCAGTTAAAAAACTCACCTAAGCTACAACAGACCCCGGCTCGAGTCCTTACCCTGGAGCACGGCCTTGAACTGGGGGGGTCTCATCTGCATAGGGGAGCCCTGGCTATACAGAGGGCTCTGCCCAGCCATTCATTTGGTTGTAAACAGCCTGCTTCAAGTTTCAACAAACTGGCATTTTCCAACAAAAGAAGTTTCATCAAAAAGGTCCCCGAGAAGCCTGGCATGGCTGGCACTCCCAGCGCTGCCTGGGTGCATCACGGCTGCGGTCCCAGCGCAGGACGCATCACGGCTTCTGCTGCAGGCCCGGCCCGGCCGCGCGCCCATAACACGCGTGTCCACGGATGGCTTCTCTTCTCCAGGTCCCAAATGTTTTGACACGCGTCAGCCGTGTCACCCACGACTGCACATAATAAGGCTGCCCAGGGAGACCGATCTTAAAAAATACTGTGCTCTGCAGAGACCTATTGGCAAGGAGCAGCCTGCACAAAATAAAACAGATGCATAGCAATGCCAAGCCAAGGAGCTGGATGGGTGGCAAGCGGCAGTGAATTCATCATCCAGCCAGCTCGGAAAACAACTACAGTTAACCCTTCCCATGCTACCGCTTGCAAGCCAGGGATCCTGCATCACCTCTGCTAACAGCAAGGCAGCTGGCAGCGAACCCTGGCTTCAGAGCCACGAATCCGTCATTTTGCAGACAACGCACTAGTCTTCTAGGGACAAGAACCGCAGCATCCCGTTAGCATGCTGAGGAGACTGGTATTAGCACCAGTCTTGAAGAGCAAGCCTCCTTCACCATCCTCTCCTGCTGGAGGAAGGATGCTTCAACAGGGGCTGCTTAGAGCTCAGAGGGTACCTGGATCACCCTGATGGAGGGGCTGGGGAGCAGGGAAAGGGACAAGCAGCTCATTTACTCACCGTGGACTGCTTCAGCTATTACCACCTTAGCTGACACTGCATCATGCTAGTCATTGCAAGAAGAGAAAGTCCCCACTGCAACCATCCCGGCAAGGCCAACCATCCCCTCCCTCAGTGCCTTGGTCTCCTGCACGAGCATGAACAAATATTGTTGTACAAGCCCTGCAGGCTTGCATCAGAGGGCGCAGGTCAGAGAGAAGCTCCCTGATCGCTGGCCAAGATGAGGAGGCTGCACAGGTGGGGGGCCGGTGCCTTTCTCTGGCCCAGGTGACGAGGGGTGGGGAGGCCCAGGCTGCGGTGCTCTGTTGCACTCAGGTCCTGGATCTCTCCGGGGCAACTAAGCCTTTGGCATCTAATAATGCACAATCCTTGCCTGGTACAAGCAGGGTGGGGGTAAGGGGTATGGAGAATGCCCCGGCCCCCATGCAGTGCTCCTGCTAGCAGGTTTCATAATGCTCCTACTTTCTAGTGCACAGCTTCTTGCTACGGGGGTGTTACGGAGACAAGGCTACGCGACTCCAGACAGGGGGAGAGGTGGGGGAGCCATGCTGCGTGATGGCCTTTGCTCTCTGCATAACGAAGCACACCCAGTTAAAGGCAGTGAGCCATCTTCCTCATCCTCCTCGCTGGGTTTTGGAGGAGGTGCTGGCAACTCAGCTAAAATCCAGCCATGAGAGGCCAAAGTGTCAGCTGAGAACCATCCACCACTTGGGTCACACAGCTGGTCTCTCTCCGTGTAGGTCAGAGCAGGAGAAGAGGCTGAGTTTGATGGGAAGTCACTTATCCACAGCTAAGTGGTGGATACAAGTGGCACTGTCGGCTTGCGGGTACTTGGGAGGTTTAGGAACCTAATCCAGCTCGAGCAGCCTGAAGCCAGACTTGGTGGGGGCAGCAGGGCTAATGGACTGCACCCCGCAGAGAAAGAGGAGGGATCCTTCTGCAAAAATCTGACGGTGGCAATTAGAAATCCTGCCAAGGTGTCTGCTTCCCACTGGCCCCTGGGTTTTACAGCGATTCGGCGCTCCCATTAGCTCTGCTCCATCCTGCCTGTCAGTCATCACCACATTGCCCTTGCCTCTGTCCTCCCACGCATGAAGCCAACATGCTCTGCCCACACAAGAGAATTTAAAAGGAAAGAATTAGAGAGAAACTTGAGTGGCGCTGGTGGGTTTCCAGTAGCTCTAGCAACCGCTGGGAGGGGCTGGTTGGTTTCCAGAGCAGATATCAGACCAAGGGCCTTTGTACACACCACGTTTTTTGCCCTTTCTTGCGCTGCAACTGCATGACTGTTTGCACGAGTAGGATTTCCGGATGCTTTAAAAGTCTTTCTGGTGCATTAAACTCCTCGGACGTAGTTTAGCTTAGATTCATAGATTCATAGATTCATAGATTAAGGGTCGGAAGGGACCTAGTAGATCTTCCAGCCCGACCCCCCGCCAGGGCGGGAGAACAACAAAAAACCCCAAAAAGAGAAACGGGACTCAAACGAGTCCAGCCAGGTAGGCATCCAGCCTCTTCTTAAAGACCCCCAGGGTAGGGGCCAGCACCACTTCCCTTGGAAGTTGGTTCCAGCTC